CGGTCCACGATTCAGTAAGTCTCTGTTCCAGTTAATGAGCTCGTCCTTCTCGTATTTCACTGTCCTGATCTCGATGCAGTGAACCATTTCGTAATGGCGACCGAGGCAGTAGTTATTAAATAACGAATCAGAATTAGAGGGCTTCAATTGCTACAACTTTCCTTTTAACTTTACCAACTCCTACTCTGTATGATATTTAATTGTGTTACTTATAAGTACTTGTTCATAAAATTCAGTGTTTTTTCTTCTTACTTTACCATTTTCGCACTGCTGTATTTTCCTCTAATTACAGTATTTTCTCTCTATAATTCGCCTTCTTCTTCATCGCGTTCGCACGCTTCACCCAATATAGTGAATTCTCCCTAAATGACCCTCAACTTGGTAACAAAAATGGAGAATTTTGGAATTTTGCGGCTTGTTTTTATAGTTGTTGACGGCCCAAGGGTACTCTAAGCCCTTCCTGCGTAAAAATTTGTTCATTCCATTCTAAATGTATCTTGCAAATTTTATTGCGATATCTCTAAAATTGGCGAGGTTATAGCAAATTTTGTGTGACGTTCCGTGTTTCCGCCGCGTTTGGCAAACGCGAGTCTTTGATAGCAGACGAACTGTTCGATCGAGTAAGCATCCTCCGGTATCTGTTTGTGCACCGTGAACGAAAATTTGCGCTAAGAATCGGAGAAATGGAGTCTTCTAATCCAGGCTACGACAGTGAACCAACTCCACGAAGATCTACAAGCCCTGATCAAAGAAAACTTCGTCAAGAGGATATACTTCGAAACGTAATTATAGCAAAAGACGGAGAGAACTCGAGCGATGTCGCATGAAAAAATTCAAGTGGACACCCTACATGTTGATCTAAGAAGTCCACAATGTTTTAAGAGCATTCAGTTATACCGTTTTAAATGCTCAATTTATTCTATGCATAGAAATGAATTTAGGAATGTAAAAATTCGCTCGAATTGTGTCATAGTAATCTTTAATTACTACCCGCCCGGGGGGCGGGACGGGGGTAGTGCGAGGTTTGACCCGCTAAAACCCCCACGGCGGCCTAGGGCGCTGGCGATTACTGGGGGAGCCACGGGAACTCTTAACGAACACAACCGCGGCTCCCCCTCGCCTGGCCGGCCACCAGGATGGAATGGCGGTGGCCGGCCACGTCCCGGGGGGAAATTTATCCTCCCCCATGAATAATCTTGGTTCGGCGGTGCGGGGGACCGCTCCCCGCACCGCCTCGTCACGACGGCCGCTTTTCAATGAGGGTGCCCAGGGCCCCCGCCCTGGGCACGGCGGCCGGTGCCGAATACACCTGGCATCCATGTAAGCCATATTTCTAACATATTAGAAATATATATATATATTCTCTCTCTCTCTCTCTCTCTCTCTCTCTCTCTCTCTCTCTCTCTCTCTCTCTCTCTCTCTCTCTCTCGAATATATATATACACATTCTAATAACCGTTTGAGTCCCAAGCAGCGCTATCATGCTATTTGGCATTTTTCGACCGTGTTTTCTGAATAATTCCTGGGACTCAAACGGATAAAGTCTTTTCTTACAAGGATTCCGAAAAAACAGCTACAGGTATAATTGTCGTTTGATCTGAATTGATTTAAAAAATTTCAGGTTACATTTTTCTTCGAAACTTGTTCGTAGATTTTAACATATTGTAGGCCCTTTACAGAATGTTTATAGGAAACAAAAGATTTAGAAACGGATTAGGTACAGTCATTACTTAACGCTTAAGAAAATCTTCGTACAAAAGTGGACTGACCCTGCGTTATGTGCTCATTTTCGGCGCGGCACCCCGTACAGTGGGAGTATCACGGCGGAGAACGCGCTCGTACCGAAAGGGTTAAGTATCGAAGTTCTTTCGCAACACGTCCATCTCGCACGACGTCAATGATTGTCTGCGAAAAGAATTTGTGGCGACGTACCTTCACTACGGAGTCATCGTATATTCATGCTTTCCAGTTTCCCTTATGAATGCATGTACATATGTATGTATGTACGTGCAAAGTGATCGTAAACGAACGAAATTGTAGACATCCGTTTCAAATCGATCGATTTAATTTGCAAGAAACATTGTGAAACATTTATGAAACCTCTTCTTTGACAGTTTGTTCATTTTTGTCGGTCAGTAAAAAAAAGAAAACACTGCGTCGGTCTAATATTCTTTCGAATGTCAGTCTTTCTTTTGTATAATTCTGGATGACACGTTACTTACATAGGCGTAGCTAGGAAGCCTTACTGGACGAAAGCCTTATTTCTTCCCTTCCTTTTCTTCCATTCCCTCATCTTTTCCGATCGCCTACAAATATTACTGTTTCGTCGCACAGGAACAAAATCCGTGGAGTCTTCGTCGACAGGGTTTATGACGAAAGACTACTTTTGAGATTTAAGACTTTTTTAACATTTGGCGACCATTCGATGGCGACCAACCTTCCGTTTCGTCTTTCTCAATAGCCGTGACGTGTCGTAAACTAGATGGGGGTCGGCATACGAATTCCCGAAAAAACTGATCAGAAGGCATCGCAGGCTTCTCCAAGCTTTCTTCAAGCTTCAAGAAAAGTTATTCGACGGTCTCGCGATCAACCAGAGTAAAGAGTCGCATCATCACACGTCTCGCGAACTCTTATTTTAGACGCATTCGAAAACGCGCAACCACCGCTTCTCCGATCGGATCCAATTGCCTAAAATTAATTTAACGGGCGACATTTAATAACGAGACAGGAATCAAAATCCGCGATTGGTTAAATCCGGGCCTTGCAACCACAAATTGGTTCAGAAACCAGTGCGATCATTTCTGTGTATCGCAACGTAAACTCAATTACTATATCGATATCGTCTGCAAAGTTTTTTTTCAATGAATTATTGATTAATGTAAAATAACGTTAAACATTATTTCGAAGACTGGAACTCAAAATAATTTGCAAGGACGAAATAAAATTTCTGAAAAATAATTTATTAAAATTATCAAGAAGTTACGGAACATATAAAATGAATATTTACGTTCCACTGTATTTGTGATACTAAGTTATAAAAAACATAGGGACTATATATATATAATATATAATATATAATATATATTATAATATATTTAATATATGTATAATATACTATTATATATAATATTATTATTACATAATAACAATTACTACTAAAATTTACTACTACACTAGAATAGAAAGAAATATGTATGAAATAAATGTACTAATTTACTTAAAGAGACTGATGTGAACGGCAATATGGATCACTGAAAAAATTTGTCTTTGTAAACAATACAAATTTCGTCTGAAATCTAGTGACCCGTATCGCTGGCGGAAAGTTAATAATTTACAAAAAGAGGGCCAGAAGGTAGCCAAATTAAGACGAACGGGACTCGTCACAGCTTCGGACAACCACTTGATCATTTATGTATAATAATTGTCACTTATATTTATAAAATTTTTAAGAAATCTGTTATTATACGAGACAGATATGAAGAAACAAACAAGCATTAATTTTTTTACTCTAGCATTAGAATATAGTGTATTAAGGTAATATTTCCGTACCATAAACTGGGATTCGCAAAGCACTATTCTTCACTAGGAATACTTCGTTTCACTGAAGACACTGATCATTCTTGAGTCATGTCCGATGAAGAATAATATTTCTAAGAAAAACGCGTTCATACATTAGCTGCGACATGAAACCAGCGAAGTAATTTCTGCCGGTCCCCACCGTGGCAAAACAGAAAAAATACAGGGAACAAGCGTTGCAATTATCGATTCTTGTAACATTTATAGTTTCCGAGCGGAAATCTACGATCAGTGTAATTTACGATCCATTCCGTTTCGAATTCGCGATGGAAACTGAACAGCATGTATAAACTATAATGCCGAGGTGTAATCAGACGTCGCTACAAAATTCCATGCGCATAAAGTTCTTTACTACCGAGCGAGATGGATGTGTTTCGAGAGAGCTACAGTACTTATTGCTTCGTGTTGTGCATGACTGGACTCTGGCCCGATGACGAGTCTTTACTAACGAGAATACAGAGGGTGGCGTTTACTCTGCTCAATATCTCGTGTATAGTGGTCCAGGTAATGAATATTAAACTTGCAACGCGGCGTTTCGTCGACAGAAAAGTTTGATTAAATTCTGATGAATTTATCTAACGAGAAATAAGTTGCCGACTTTATTGTCCATCGTCGAACTTTTTTTCCAATAGTGTTTTATATGTATAATTACGGAAACAATGAGTGCAGATATGTGTCACAAATTAATGATTAATATTAATTTGGCTATCATGTTTTTTAACTACACGATTTCTACACATTATAAACATTGAGTTAATACAAAATAGTAGCTGTCAGATGATTTGACTTTTCTTTAAATTTCAATGCACAATTGCAATATATAGGGTAAGTCGTTTGACACATTCACATTACTGTATATTGTATAAAAAATTATATACACTATTTATATAGTTTTTATATATATTATTATTTATATTATTTATATAGTATTTATATATATATATATTTTTTTTATATATATAATATATTATATATATTTGTGTATATATATATTTCGTACAAAAATTGTTTGGTACAAAGAGAAGCACAGACCGCAACAATTAATTTCCTGCGAGTTTCCTTTTTTTATCAAAATACGAAAGTCGCTTGACTATAATATGAAACACTCATACACGTGTATGTATATAATGGACAACATTTTAAAGAATAATAACTTGATAATCATTAATTTCTGAACCGTTGCACTTCGATAATTTTTTATTCTGTATTTTTATTCTGGCTTTCGAGTGGCATCATTAAATGTTGCACAATATAGTTAAAAAAAAAGTCAAGGTTATTTTTATCATATTTTGATAAAGAAAGGAAAATAGCAAGAAATTAATTGTTACCGTGTAACACTCGTCTTTATAAGAAACGACTTTATGCAACATGTAGTTTACAAGAAACATTAAGGCGAAACAGTTGAATGACTCACCCTGTACATGATACAATTAGTATTTGTAACCAATGAAACAACAATTGTAACGTAAATAACTTCGAAGTTCGAAGTTCGTCCAAAAATAGTTTTTACCTCGAAAAGACAGTTTCATTGTTGATATTGGATTTCTCTTCGAGAAAAACAGGAGTGGGACTGTTCAGATTGTTCAGTGAAAAATGTTTTTTTGTTCTCGTTAATATTAAAATCTACTAAAATTAATCATTTTCTAGGCAACAACGTTAAAAACGGCTGAATTGACGCTGTACAATACACTTATAATGTTATCGTACAGCTTTCCGATGATACTATATTTTCTACGATATTCGTGGTTTGTGATGAATATTTCCGAAGTAAGTTTTCGAAAACGCCTCAGCCTTCTTTTCATTACAGGAGAAAACGCCGGTTTAATTGTTGAATTTCTAAGCATATTATTACGTCTGCGATTTTAATGTGACTTGTCACGTGACTTTAGATACGAGCCGTGTTCGAAAGTATTGGAAGGGATTACAGTACAATGAAGGATCCTCTCGAACTGGGGATGTTTATGAAACATATGGCAGAAACGAGACGTGTTATCATGGCATACATAGGTAAATACAGATATTTAATAGACGGATTTTCTTTACGCCATACCAGAAATGTATCGAATTATTGATACCAAGAAAACATCTTACAAACATGCTGCAAGTGAAATAATAATATATTCCAATAGTTTGTCCGTGATCAAAAAATTTAGTACACACTATTTTAACAATTTGACTGAAAATTAATTTTCACGCTAATCTACACATCATATCTTTCTATTGTAATTTAATTTGGATCTATAAAAGATGAATACATAGTACTTTATATAATATAACCATGTGATTTATGCGATTTATGTCATACAACTTAACTTTTAAATTCGAAGTTGATCAAAGAAATTGTTTCAATTTTATGCAAGGAGACAGGCTAGTGTAAATATCTCGAAACGACGACGCCATATATAGCGTTATACTAAAAGTCGGAAAACTCTTTAATAAAGTAATAACTGATTATGTATTGCAATTGTCGCGAAACCGTATCCCAATCTTGCAAATTGCGTTTAAAGATTTAGGCGGATCTCAAAGTTTCACTAATATTCAGGGTGTCCTAAAATTATGGTACTTTCAGGTTCTTCAGCTCATTTGAAGCAACTTTTTCCTTTGCGAAAATGCGATCCGCAGCTTTGTTTACGAGTTATTAACGAAAAATAGCGACCAATGAGAGGCGAGATCAGCTGGCGCTCGGTGGCCGAGCCAATGAGCGGAACTGGGCTCCTCTCGCTCGTTGGATCGGCCCGCCTTGCGCCAACAGAGCTGGCCACTCATTGGTCAATGTTTTTCGTTAATAACTCGTAAACAAAGTAGCGGATCACATTTTCGCTAAGGAAAAAGTTGCTTCAAATAACCTGAGAAACCCCCATTTCCAGATTACGAGACATTTTTGGGACATTCTGTATATCTTATTTTGACGCAAAATGTTGTTTATGTATATATATTAAATTACTTAAACATTGCTGTAATTTGGTTAATACAATGAAATTGTGGAAACCCACAGCAATATGATTCTTTTTCCAAAAAGCGATCGGACTCTTCCAGACTTGCCTTATTATTTCGTTCGACGTTGCCTTTCTCACGTACCTCGATTCTATAGATATTAATTAATGAAATTTTATTTCGTGTAGGAATAACAATAAAATAATACCGTTGCGGATTTTAGTTCTAGCAGCTCTGATAGCAGCTTATATAATTGTGGCAATACTGGTCCCTACAATACTACACTCGAAACTTCAGCTTCGTTACCTACGCATGTTTGGGTTCTTTTACAACGAGGAGAACGCACAAACTGATTGGGTTGGCCTGCAGCTTGTATTGGTAAGCGTGTTAGGTCAATTAGCGTTAGTAGGTACGGAAGCGTCGGGTGCCGTTTTCTCTGCCTATTTGTGTGGATTATTTGAAATCACCAGGTACGTTTGAAACAATTATTTTCATATATCCTTTCGTATACAGATTCATTCTATTCAGAGCGTACGAGCCCACTATACCGACAGAAAGAATCATTACAGCACCGTCAACCCTCATTCTACATGTCTGCTAGAGAGTTTCACTTTCCACAACTGCTTTCTTTTCTTTTGCACATTGTATGAGCGGATTCATGCAATGTGGCGCAAAAATTACAACGGTATTCAAGTGGCACGGTAAAAGAACTACATTATCACAGTTTCGCGGGGAAAGTCGTAGTCGTAGTATTAAGAGGTCGTTACAATAGGAGGTCACTTGTTATGCGCGTGGCAAATTAATTCACAAACATCTACGGCTGCGTTTAGCATATGACGCGAGAATAAACAATTCGATGTAATTTATAAAATTTCACTGTAATACTCATTCATGACTTCCGTATTTCTGTGAACACCTGACGTGTTCTAATAAGAAGAAGTCGCAGTCGTTGGGCCACCGTTTTTGATACAAGTTATCCTGGTTAACATAGAGCAACAATTAGCCGATCCATACTTCGACTATACCGACAATACTCATTACGTGTGAAGATATCTTACATTTGAACTTTAAGAATAAGAATGAATAAAAGCTCTGAGTTTGCCTCATTGACAAGTCACTTCATTGACAATCAATTCACCAACACGATTACAGCGACAATTATTTCACTGACACGATTATATCGACTCATAATTTTGTCAACAATATGCAGATTGTCCCAAAATTATGGTACTTTCGGGAAATCGGGGATTCCTGAGGTCATTTGAAACAACTTTTTCCTTTACAAAATTTTTCTCCGAGCCATCGTTAACGAGTTATTAACGAAAAACGGTGACCAATGAAAGGCGAGCTCGGTTGGCGCGAGACGGGCCGATCTAACGAGCGGAGGAAGCCCAGTTCCGCTCATTGGCTTGACCGTCGCGCCAGTTGAAATCGTCTCTCATTGGTCAACGTTTTTTGTTAATAACTGTTGAACGAAGCCACGGATTGCATTTTCGTTAAGGAAAAAAATTGCACTCTGTATGCTCACCGACATATTTATATCAAATAAAAGATACTTTCTCGACAGTTGTAGTTAAATTTTGAATACGTTTGTGTAACATTCGGATTATTATACATTTGCGTAACTTCTCAATGTCGGGTTAAAGCAGAAAATATTTTGTATCTATCCGTGAACAATGCGGCGTCGAAATATGACTTATTGTGTATCGAAAATCAATATGCAAGTTCAAGCATAATAGAAAATAATAGTATTCATTTAATTGGTTTATAGAATATGCAATCAATTCTGCCAAGGAAAATTAAAATCAGCCACGCAGCTCTTTCCCAATATGAATAAGAATATTCATATAAAGCATATTTGAATAACTGCATCTGTTTCGCGAATAGAGCAACAACGAGTTTCAATCAATCGTAGGATTATACCTGCCAAATGTTTATTCACTGATATTATGTAAATATACAGAAAGTGAATCATTCAAAAGAGTGATATTAAAATCGTCCATTTATGTTTATTTCTTCAGTCATCGAGTGCACGCTGCAGTCAAAGATGTGGCAAATTCTACTTCATCAAGACAAATAGACATACAATCAGCCATACAAATACACCAACGAGCTGTCGAGTTAGTATCTTCATTCAGATATTAGAGCACAACATTGTTGGTGTATGTTTTGCTATATTTTTATCGTGTCTTTGAATCATAAATTTGCTAATGAAGGTTGGCCGCACAGCTCGGCAAATGCATGACGTATTCGTATTTAATGGCGATCGTGGCAGTCGTCCTCTCGTTTGCTGTGAACTTATATCGTGTAAGCATTGCCGGAAGTGAGTAAAAAGGATTCGAAAATCGCTTGAGATTATTCTGAGTTATATCAGCGAATGGATCGTAACAAAACTGTTTTCACTATGTAACAGCTTCTTCTGGCAATTAAGAACGCGGACGACGTGGAAAACCTGTTCTTTTCTGCATCCCTCACGCTGTCGCATATTTTAATTATGTTCCTAGATAATCATAGCGGTCAGAAACTGGTGAGCACTAGCGTCGAAGTTTTCCATGAAACGTAAGTTCGTAATTTTTATGTAACCCTCGTGCGTTTCACAGTGCGACAATTCATTCATTTTCTATTACTAAATAACGAAATTTTCGTTCCTTTTCGTTCATTTCGCAAAACGAAATTCTTTAAATTGTGAAATTAAAAGCGAAGTCCATATTGTTGCTTTAAAATGTTAAACGAAGATGGACGAAGCATTACCCTAGGATTTTTTGGGCAATTATGCCTGGGACACGTATGAGGGCTAAATGAAATTTTTAACGACGTTGAAGAAAATGAAACCGAGTCAATCCGATAACAGTGGGAGAATTATTCGCGACTTCCAATCGATTGGATAGAATTTACATTAAAAAATTAATCAATAGCTGTAAATAGAATTGCGAATAATTGAATAAACTCCCACTGCTGATAAGAAAGTACACGTATTAAGGAAGTAATTAAACGATCCTATTCAATGAGACAGATATAACTCGTTGTGGTACTGCATACCGCCAAGGTCGCAAAAACTATTGTTATTCCTGTTAATGAGAAGTATAGAAGAAGTACAATATAATTTTGCTGGTTTATTCGTTCCATGTTACGAGGGTTTCTCGATGGTAATTCATCACTTTTTTAACTAATTCAGAAAGGAAAGTCTTCAGAGTTGATGCTCATTTTTTGATGAGATTTGGTACAGTGATAGAGCTTGTAAAGTTGAATCCAATGATACCCAATTTGGGGGGTAGGCGGTTTATAGTTCTTGAGATAATTAATGTTAAAGTTGCTAATACGAGGTGAGAAAGACGCACTGGATTACGCAGCGTGGCCCCGCGCGGCAAGAAGTGGGGGATGCCCCGGCTATCGCATCATGCGGAGCACCCCCCACTTCTTGCCGCGCGGGCCTTGCTGCGTAATCCAGCGCAACTTCCTGGCCTTTTATTAGCATTATTTATTACCATTAATTATCTCAAGAACTATAAATCGCCTACCTCCCAAATCGGGTATCATTGGATTCAGCTTTACAAGCTCTATCATTCTACCAAATCTCATCAAAAAGTGAGCGTTAACACTGTGGGCCTTCCCTTGTCAGAGTTGGGCATATTTTATTCGAATAAATTATTCTAATAAAATCTTATTCAAAATGTTATTCGAATAATGTCCAACTGTGATCTCACCAAAATTAACCACGGTCCACAGTTCAATATGTTTCTGTTTCAGCTAATGAGTTCGTCTTTCTCATATTTTACTGTTCTGATCTCGGTGCAGTGAACCATTTCGAAATATTCACCGAGGCAGTAGTGACTATAAAGGATCGGAATTAAAAAGCACTCACTGTTATAATTAACCTGCTATAGTACATCTCCAAAATGTTTTCTCGACGCCTCGTGTGTTATCATCGTTTGATGATTCCAGCTGTGCGGTATCAGTATTCTTGCTTAATTGTCATTATATACCTTCGAATCGTTTTGTCGATATTTATACGTTTCCATCTAAAAGTCTAAAAACATTAAATTTGTATGATGCTAAAGCTATGCACCGAAATGTATAAATATATTTTCGATTAATAAAACAAGAGACAATTGATGCAGTATACAATGTACGTATGTGGCTAGTTTGGCAAAAATATCACGCTGCTGTACGCCAGGGGAGAACGGGTTACGAATAAAGTACAATGAACCCTTTACCAATCCTTTAGTAGCTTATATATTGTTCGACTGGGATTTTACAGGTGTACATTAATGGGAACAACATCTATGTGTGACTCTTGGTAAATACAATCGGAGTTTGTGTCCGTCACGCTACAAATCGTTTAATACGTGTTCGATACAATTTTAACCACATATTTTAATCGGTAGACTTTATTCCTATACATACGGTAGACAGATATACAAAAACATTGTATCGTACAAAATAGTAGCAGTATATCACCAACAGTTTCGTTCCCAGGGATTCTTCTCTCGCGTGCGGCATCTGTCATTGACTTCTACAATCATTGCTCGAGTTCGATAAATACTGATGCAATTAAATAGGAAATCAAATTATCTATAGCATAGAGAAAAGTTTCGCCGTCGCATCCTACATAATTAGTCTGGAGACGATAATTTTATTATGCTTTGCGTGTATGTATGTTCGAAATTAACGGTTTCAAACCACAATCTAGTTAATTACTCGATTACGTTGTTAACATTGCGATATTTATATAAAATTAAGACCAACTTTGAACAGCATACTTTTCAGAAATTAATCTATAAAATTCTGAGTTTGTTATTTCATTTAAAAAAAGTTGGTGTACAAGCTATCTTTTTAATAACTTCGTTTCAATGTAACATTAAAATAACAATAGAAACTAAGCGATTAAATGGATGGATAGTTTAAAGCAAAACTCTTTCACATAAAATATCTACGATTTTATTAGAATTCTCAGGAACTACGGGAGAAGTGATTCACGATTGCCGTTATGTAATTGAAAGAATCGAGAACAGAAGAGTCTACTAAAGTCAATGATACATACCGTACACAAAGAGATTTGTCGAAAAAGGAGAAATCAGGTGAAAACGCGAAAGATGCGCGTTCGATACGCGTTTATGTACAAAATGAAGAGAAATGTTTGTTAACAAACGTGTTTCCGCAGAACTTCGCTCGCGTTTCTTTCTCTCTCTCTCTCTCTCTCTCTCTCTCTCTCTCTCTCTCTCTCTCTCTCTCTCTCTCCCCCATTTTTCCATTAGAAATCATTTCTGGTTTGTACTGTTTTGTCTCAATTTTCCGTTTCGTCGAGAAATAATGATAAGCGAACAAGGGTTGGCGAAGAAAATAGGACAGCGAACGACGCTTTCCAACAGAGCCAAAAAAGAACGTGGGGAAACGTGTGTGTGTGTGTATATGTGTTTTCGTGTGCATGCGTGTGTGCTTTAAAACCAAATCAGTCGAAATGTTGTACTATGATCCAAGTTTTATTAAACAAATTAAATACAAAAAGTTTCCTGCATTTTTTCTCTCGTGTAACTCGCGGTTTGGACCGCAATTGCAGTCGCTCCATTCTCGAGGTTTGTATAAATAATTAAAACAATAGGAGAAAAAGGGGCAAGGAGTATAAATAAAAATAAAAGAATACAGGGGTGTCGTGGAAGAAGAAAGTTCAAGGCTTATCCACATATTGTATCTTTTTTTTTCTCTTTCTCTCTCTCACGCACGCTATTTTTCGTTACTCTCGGATAAACTTTTTTTCACGGGCTCGCAGTTACACGAACACTACGACAAGGTGAATCATTCTCGTAAAATTAGGGGAAAAAAAGGCTTGAATCTTTGCAATTCAAGACGAATCTCTCTCTCTCTCTCTTTCACGCTCTCTCTCTCTCTCTCACTCTCTCCGTTTCGAACGCTTTTTCCGTCCCTCTTAAACTCTTTGCGTTCCCTTCAGTTTGATCATCCGTCTCAAACGGCTGAACATTATTGCTCGTCGGTTCAACACAGCTTAGAAAACTACACATGGTGGCCGGTATGAAAGATATCTCGTTGGTCCGGTGAACACTGATCACTGTCCCGCGTGGATCATGATCGGGGCTCATCGATCCGCATGGCAGAGGATGGAAAAGCGTTCGACTTCGATCTATTGAAACGCCGATAGATCAAAGTGGTAACGGAACCGCGTTGCTCCGCGAATACGTTGGCAAAATGTTCCATGGAATGAGTCGCGTCTATGAACTGCTACGACGATACGAACAGAGGGAAGATCTCCTACAGCCGGTTACAGTGTGAGAAACGCAAAGAGTGTGCGTGTGTGTGTGTGTGTGTGTGTGTGTGTGTGTGTGTGTACGACGAAAGAGAAACGAACGGAAAGAAAAGGTGGGTAGTTTCCTCGGTCTACTTCGTTTTAGTTCCCCTTCTACTCTCGGATCACGGAAAAAGCTTTCGCGTCAATGGAACGCTGAATACAATCATTTAAACAGTTTCTGCGAGAACGTTGGATTAAGAATATTTTTAAAAGTCGTTAGGATATGTACAAAGAGATATTAATATGAATATGCAGTAAATGTCACTGAGTCCGCGGTGTGTCAGGGAACGGTGCCATCGTTTTCTAGACGAGTCGCCGCCTCGTGTCCCCGAGACACGACGGACGTGGTCGAGGATCGACACGGTGTACGAAGGTGTCTGGGTGTTTATCTATCGTTTCGGCTCGGGGGGCAGTACGTGGTATATCGATGAAACGTCCGTGGAAGCAGTCTGTTCGGGGAAGCATAATCGGCCACGAAACACGGCAAGACACGGTGGAATGTTAACAACGGCGGAAGAGGTCTGAAGCGCCGCGTCGATCCTCGAGGCCTCTGTTCCGCTTCTGCGCGCCTTTTCTGGCAGACCAGTTTCGCGGGAGATGTGCCTTCCGACGGTTAGGCCCACTCCGGTGACCGCATTCATTCTCCTACACACGAAGTCCACGATTCCCTTGGTTCTCGCCGACAAAGGACTCGAGCGGCTTGTGCATACAAACGGACGAGAAATACGAATTTAATCAGTTTCTTTTCTGTTCTTTTTTTCCGAGCATTCTTACGATAAGATAAGAGTCAAACGGGCGAAGAGAAACGATATTACTTCGACGAGAAAACCAGCCGCGCACACCACCTTCGCCTCATTTACGACAACGCGATCATCTGTCTCGGTGGTCCGTCGTCTTGCCAATTCCGTGACGATCGTTCGTTACGTCATGGCGGACTTCCGATCCTGCGCCACTCGCATCTCTCTCTCTCTCTTTCTTTCCTTTCCTCTTGCTCGTATAGCGCGGATATACATATAGGTATATTCATATTTATATATTTATATAATATATTTATATAAAACTAAGACGTACCGTGATACTGATAAAATTTCGGAAAATATGAGTTCGACGAGTCGCCGTCGGAGCGTCCATCTTCGATCGGCGGCAGAGCGAATCGAGAATATCGAGATATATATATATCAGTTTATAGCCAGATCTAAAATTCGTTTCCGTTTATACATGCAGTAAAAATAAGTTGAGCATACGCGATGCATTATAATATAGACTTTGCTTTTCGTCATCTCGTATATATCCTGAAACGCTAATACCTTGTTGTATATCGATCTTCTGAAGATTTCTCTCACACATATACACACGCACACGCGCGCGCACGCATTCTCTCACTACATAATCATTTGACTTCCTCGTCGTTCAATCCGCATACATAATTAGACGTCCAACACGCACACTTACGATTGCTACACGCGCCGTAGCCGCCTTAATAAGAATTCCAAAAGTCCAGGAACAGTACTTTCGATCCCGTACCTATCTCTCAAACGCCGCTCGTGTTAGTCTTTGAAAAATACTTTGTACTTGATCGAGTCAACGGTAAAATTCAACACACATCGAAACCGTAAAAATCGGAGCTCCCAACGACTACGAAATTTCCATGAACGCGTTCGACATATGCCAGTCAAACCGGAATGCCAGTCAAAGCGAAATGAAACTGCGTCGAGTGCTCTGCCGGCTTGAGACCGCTCGTTCTTCCTGCGACAAGGATAACAAAGGACGAAGCTCGGAAACGTGGTGACTAAAACCTTAAAAAAAAAACGCTCGCTACACCGGCAGACGCTGTATACATCGAATCCGAAACGGAAAGAGAAGAATGGTCGACGTTGGATCCGTAAACAGGTCAAGAGTTCAACATCGACGCGTCGGGTGATTCGAGGGTCTTTTTGGGGGGGCGCGTATCCGATCCGCTTTGCACTGAATTTCGTCTCTGTCTCGTAATTATTCTTTCTCGCCAATTACACTCTACGATTAAACGCTACACTATGTACACCAAGTTATGCTTAATCTACAAGTTGAGGGGGGGGGGGGGGTCGTGATTGGGATTAGCCTAAAAAGTATATAATACAGGACTCGCCGTTGTTCGTACTCCCTGCGGCGATACGCGGTATATATAACATCTTTGGACTCGATTTATTACACATTTATGTATATAGAATATTACTTTACGTCTGTTTTCTTTCGCGTCTTAGTCCCGCGAACTTCTGTCGCGTGCAACAGTCAAACGTTCGCTATCAGTCCGATCGAAAAGTCGTCATTGTCTTTTCGCTGTTCCCTCTCCTCATTGCAAGCCATCGAGGTACACGTTCCGTAGATTTCTTTCTCCCGCGTTTTTTCTAGCATAGCTCCCGAGATTCTCGTTTGCCTGCAATTATGGAAGACGAGCACTCCAGGTCCGCGTTCCAAAAGCTTCTTGGAGTTCCGGGATCTTCGAATGCAAAAACATCTGGGAAATGCTGTGCGTATCGGTCCGTATTCGTCCGTATGCCTTTGTACCCTTCGTCTTTGACGTCCTCCGATGAATACAGTCGCCTTCGGGACACTCGTAGAGGTCCAGAATTCCACGACCCGTACCGACTTCCTTTTCTTGTTCACGTGGACAATTAGTTGGTCCGGTACTTACGACTCGCAACGAATGGATTTATTTTCTTTGTTTTGGGGAAAGACCAAGTTGATGATGACACGACGGATTGGATGACTGGAACTCCTTCCGTGTCACAGATCGATTAGACCGCCGATACTTGGGCGTCCTCGTCATCTGAAAAATTTGGACGGTTGCTATAGTCGTGTCAGACGCAGACGCTGGGTCTGACTGCCAACTCACGTCGTCTACCTTAGCCGAATCTTAACACTGATACCTGCGCATTCATTATTACAGACATTAAAAAGAACACACTTGTGTGGAACTTACAGATGGCGACCTCCTTCTGTACAAGGTTCAGTAAAATCATTGCAGTCGTAAATAGGTGTATAGAAACCAGGAATTGCAGTAGCTACGTAGAATTAAATTCGGATGTGGAGAATATCTGTGCTTAGACATTACTACCGAAATTGTAATCTCGCGAGAATATTGTCGGAATTGGACGCTGGAGTCTTCGTGTTCAGATTTTAAGCTTCCAAGCTTTGATAACATCTTTTACTTATAGAAAACACAGACAAGTAATGTACACAGGCAGCCGAGTTTGAAATATTTGAAAGAAAAATAAAACGGATGGAATGTGTAAATATGTTAACATATAAAAATCAGTTACTATATGTAGACTAAAAAATATATCAGATTTGTGACTACTATAACTCATTATACTATCGATTGGTTTTACACAATAGAATGAATCAATCTCTATGGAAGCTGGTTCAAATATTAAATCTCTAATATCTATTATTCAAAATTAAGCAATTGATATATTATATAAAGTGATAACAGTGTAGTTATTCTATTCTGTTTTGACAAATCTATATTGAATTCAAGTTCAAACTTGTATGTTGAGTCTACATTTGCTCCAGTTAAGCAGCAAAGCTAGAGTGACTGCTGAAAAAAGACAATCATTTTTGTGATATTTTAATGTTACTGAACTTTTTGTAAAATATCTTATTAAAATTTCGTTAAAAATTACTAATGTCCATAAAGATAAATATTTTATAAAAAGTTCGATAACGATAAAGCACCTTGAAATTGATAGTCTCTTTTTGTACCAGCCACGTTCACTTTCCCCCATAAAACAGGAATTTTCTCATTACAGAACACTTGTGTGTTTCAGTAATAATTAAAATGGCACAATTTTCTGAAACAAACCATAATTTATAAACTATAACTTCAAGGATACCATTCAACAGCACGCCCTTAGAAACGCTCATCGTAATCTACTCCTCCTCTTAAGTAATCGAATCGTTTCAAACTAAAGAAAGAAAAACTGAATTCTTAAAATGTGACGTGCAAAATGAACGCATGCAAGCTCGGCATGCCCGGCAACGAAGAACAAGGTAACGCTGAGGGAGGAAACTATATGTATATATTTATAATATAAACACGTACATAGACTATTGAAATCCGTTTGAAGTCGCTAGATAAACTGCGGCAAGCTTCCAGTGAGTGCACAACCGCCGACACGTAACATAGTGTATAACTCGTGTGGATACAGAAAACAAGTCGGTCTAACGTAAAAATGCGTAATTATGCATGGGGGTGAGTGCGGCAAACGATGCTGAATCGTAAGAGCAGAAAAACAAAAATCGGAACACGGGTTATGCTTAAAACGTGTGTTACGGAACAGGCACATTGCGGAATGTACAAGTGGAGAATGCGGATGTGTCATTATTTACATATTTTGCTGCGATTATCAAGCAGCGATTATCGGAGCATGTACAACAAATAACAGAACAACAACGGTCCCTGCTTGAATCGTCCAAACATACACATTATTGTACTCTTTAAGTGGCACACGCGGACGGTTCTCTCGAAAGTAGCTGGAGAGATTGTGACAGTGTAATTGTGACATATTTAATGTGTAATTGTTGTTGTTTTCCATTTGGACGGTGTAAAGCGGATACCGAAATGAAGTTTCAATGATTTGTAGGAAATAATAAGTTACAGCCTGGAAGAATCCAGCTACGAATAGCTAGGATCGCTATTCTCGCAACATTGTCACGGTGAAAAATGTTATTGAAAATAAGTTCGAATTGAAGCAATACTGCGCTATTATTGAAAAGATATTACTTGATTGCGGAATTTTATGCATTTGTGACAATAATGAAGAATCAGCAAGAAATATGCTGATAACTTTTCGCTCAATGGAAACTATCTTTATTTTGCATAAGTATCCGCAGTCGAGTCATTTATTCGGTATAATAAAAATCTCTACTTGAGGCGGATCTCAGAGCAATACTGTTTTTTCGAAAATAAAAAATCCTTCAAATTGAACTCGTTTCAGACGTGATACAAACTGATACGGTCTTTTCTCTCTTCCCTGATTTTAACGCAATTATTTGATTAGAATATAATTAAAAATGCAAATCAAGTTACGTTGATCTGTACACTATAATAAAAAGTCATTTTCATTGGTAAAATCGTTAGAAACGTAGCTTTCGATTCAAGTAATATTTTGTTGAAATTGTTGACACTGAAATTTGTGGTCGACTGAAAACTGATTATCTTTTACTCGGAACATTTTATACAAGTCGAAAAAACCACTCTGTATATAGTACATAATGATTAAGCTATCAGTAATTGCAAAAGGATTCAGGGAGAAAAGCGGATGTTAATATACACGTCTGAAAACGCAAAGCAAAAATACAAAGGAATATCGATCCCACGTGGCACATAAGCGACAAATAAAAAAACTGCGATTAACATTTTTCTCCGTGCATCGACCGCAGTTAGCGTTGAGACTGATACAGTATTATTCAACAGTCATGTAACTGATTGACAATAGCGACATAAAAAAAATGGTAGCAAAGTATGTATAGATACTATCAGCAATTTCTCAAGACCCATGATCATTCAGAGAATTGAAATTTATTTATCCTCTTCTCTTTAACTTGGGTTTATGATAAAATTTCCTCTTTAAAATCATCAATCGATGAACAACATTTGTTATCGCTAAGAAATACTTGAAAACTGTGAAATACAATTTATAGAATCTAAGTTTTATTCAACATAACTAGGCCACAGATTTGATGCATTTATTTGAAAGGATTTAATAACGCTGATACGTTAGTTTCAAATTAATAATATAATTCTTTAATTCTTTTTCTTTAAACAGAGACATTCCTACTTGATTGCTGAGTAAAATAATATAAAAATGCTTCAACTTGAAATCAGTAAATTCTCATTAATGAGGACATTATTAGAGTGCATCAGTATCCATACTATCTTCAGCACACTTTCCAGCCTTTTCCAATTCTTCAGGCATTTCCAAAAATTTCATGATGTTCGACCAAGAATCGAACATTGATTCAAACAGAAATCAATTCAGTATCACTCCCGCTGCTAGAGCGGTGGGGAGCGCAAGCCTCGAGGACCATAAATTTGAGAAAGAGACGTATAATAGAAACGTAGTAAGATAATAGGATGAATGTACGTAGCGATTGTGTTTGCTTTGTACCATCTTCGTGCTCGGTCCTGTAGGTAACACCTTCGTGACTGTGTGCACGACCAAGCCTGTGCAACCTTGCCATCTGTGCTGCGACTTTGTATGCAGGCGGCTGACGACATTGAGTGCCACCGACTCCTGGACGCATCGTTGTCATCGACGTCATGGTAGTCATGGTCGTCATCGTCGTTATAATTGTCGTGCCTGGAGGAGGAAGTCCCGCCGGTACTCCGAGACCCACGCCTACTCCTAATCCCGTACAACCTGAAAACCCTCGACTCTCTTTCTCTCGATCTCTCACACACCGCCCTCTCCTAGATCTTCAACATTACTCTTTCTCTCTCTCTCCCCCAATCCTCCGCTAACTACTTCACCGCCATTTCCGAGCGAATGCGATCCGGTCGAGTACGAAATCGTCTCAATTAGTAGACCTCCTACTGGTAGATACCAGCGATCTGATGGATCGTCGTCGTCGGTTTGAACTGATAGTTCTTCGAGCTTTCAAATTTTTACGAAATTAACCACTATGATACTTGACGATCGGATCAAGTATTATCGCGACAAATAGGATCAAGGGGTGGTCCGATTTTGCACCACCCTACTGTCAACAGAAAATGTCACAGTTTTCTGATGCTGATCTTTTCAAGGTCACATCTGCTTTTACTTGGATGACGTTCATGAAAGATTATATAATTTTTGTATAATTTCCGCTATTCTTATCGTTAGGCCGTTAAGTATGAAATGCATACTTTGCTACATAATTTTACTATAAAATGACCTAATAATAATTTTTTGATAAACAAGACCCATGGTGATGGTCTTGACAACGTATTAAGAAATCATCGAATTCGGTAAATAATTACCAAAAATATCAATGGACTTTTAGCTTTTAAAGACTGCGAAACGCGTAATTGTTTATCCGGTAAGATAATGGGAGACATTATACAAACTGTGTGTAAACTTGAAAAAATATTTAAGTGCAACACGTTAATTCGATAGAAATATACGAATGAAACTTTGTCCAGGCATCTTCCCCGAAATTAGTTTATTCAAATGCCTGGAATATTCGAGATCATTTGCATCTGTTTCTTGCTACTTTTTAGTTTCCAATGAGCTCGGACTTCAGCATACACGAATAGTATGCTATGTAAGTAAGTTTGCTATCGATACAGAAAAATGTCTCTCCAACGAACTGGAGAATTATTCGATGAGAAAAATTGCCGATAGCAAGACGATCATTCGACGACTGCATGGTAGATGTAAAAGGGTTGTACACACTTGACATTTTCACCGACTCGAAAGAAACGGCACAATCTCGTAACGGGACCCATCGTACTCGCTTGGAACGCCCGTTCGCGACAGATGAACGAGTTTCAGAGAAAACCGTACAACAAACACACCCGTTATTCGCTGCTGGATCTGCCCGCGAAGAGAGAAGCACAGCAAAACCAGTTATTATACCCTGAAAAGAAGCCCCCTCGGTCTTCCGATAATCCTGAGGAGTCACGGAATCGCGAACGGCGCACGATCGAGAACGCACACACGATGCAACAACCACCAACAACAACACACGGGCACACGGAGAGAAAGCAAGGCGACCATACTCACGTGGTTGTTAACGTGCACGCGTCAACTTTCATCGAAGCAAGCAGAATTCTTAGTACGAATTGAGTTTATGCGTTCGGCACACGAACACCAACGAACAGTTCAAACCTGATACGCGTTGCCTCCGGCGGTAACATGGAATTAGCAAACATCTTCGGCAGGGTGCAATCGTCGACCGTGATCAACAACCGCCTGGATGTGTCTACATCGCGGTGAACGAACACCGTGCCGAAGAGATTAATGAACTACTTTCAAACATTCCAAGATTAGTAATGGACACTCTAACCCTTGCGATGCTTCACCGAAGATGTTCGAGAGCAAACGTTCGAGTAAGCGTGAGAGATGCAGCTACGAGATCTCCCGAAGACCGAAAGGGTTAAAGCTCGCCGAATCCGTCACCAAGAGTTGTTCTAAGGCATGCGGCGCTGTGTTCATCGGAAGCAATGCGATCGAACAAGCGTATTCTGTGAAAAGAAGACGAAGAAGAAGACGAAGAAAAAGAAGAAGAAGAAGAAGAAGAAGAAGAAGAAGAAGCCAGCCACACAGCCCACTTGCATAGGAGAAACTGAAAGACAGGCCAAGACAGTCGCGGACTCACCTTGAGGATTTTGGGGTTGGTGATGGTGATGATCGTAATAATGTTGGTGGTGGTGGTGGTGGTGGTGATGATGATGATGATTATGGTTGTGATTCTGGTTGTGGTTCGCAGGAAGCGGAGGTAGCACTGCTACCGCGTGAGGGAACGGAGGGGCACCACCTCGCAAAACAGACCCTGCACCACACACAGGCCACATACGATATGGTGTTTTTTTCGTTTCTATTCCTCTTTTTTTACAAAATGTACAATGGTTAAATCGTCGAAATCGGGTTTGCCACCGATCGAACCGTGGACAGGCGGCGAACAATGTTGGGACCAAACGAAAGAAGGCGTGAAGAAACAGGATGTCGATATTCTGATAGCTAGATTTCTATTTTGATAGAAACACTCGGATGGGAGATAGTTTTCTGTAATGCGTGCCGCGTGATACGAATATACAAGGATCCGCGAGAATTCGAACTGTATGTATATATACACGTGTATGTATACATATATTTACATATCTATGCGTATGCATAAAGTGGCCGTTGCGCAAAGAAGCGAGTTTCTTAAAGGAAGCTTGAAGCGGTAAATGTACTGAAGCAAATGTAACTCCGAGATACAAAGCGGCTATAAGCACGGCTAGGCTCGACTAAACGATAACAAAGAGAGACTGCTAGAAGACGATGTATGTATATCGTTCCCTTCGGCATCACGGAGAGCTTTCGCTTGGCTACCGTAGACCATTGAGGAGAATTAAGGTGAGTGGCCATAGGACATACGTATCTCTTCGACGTTACGATCTGATCGAGGCCACGAATGATATCAGGGAACGTGAACGTTGAAAACTAAAGAAAAAAATGAAAGAAAACGAAAGAGATCGAAATTGATAGGAGAGCTTGGTTTACGCTTGTCGACAGATGTACAACAAATATGACACTGTTTCAAATCGATCATTCACGTTTACTTGGCTACCAATGACAATACGGTGTCACACACTACTAAAAATCCTCTCGAGAAATCAAACAGTAACAGTCATTACGGTCACGTGTTAGCAAGCATAGACTCGACATTAACACTCAATTGATCAGTAGGGAAAAAAGAAAAAAGTCACGCAGTTTACTGTGTGTTCAATCAGGACATTAAATGACAGCTCGCCGATTCAGAGTGGTATTTTTGGTTTGAGTTACGCTTCTGGGGTCAGTCGTGTTTCCGTTTCGCAACGAATTCTTCGAGAAAATGCTGAGTAGTTTCTAGTTTACTTTCTGATCTACGAATTGTACACAAGCTTCACATGTAGCCGTTACCAAGAATTCGTATAACGAATAACGTTTTTACTTGATTTGAAAGTTTCACGATGAAAAGAGAACCGCTGTCCCCAACACTACCATGCTGAATCAATCGAACGTAACAGGAGAAATGCATAGACTTATGCTAGCCATAAAGGATATATTCCCCTATGCAACTCAACTGTGTCAACATGGTAGTAGTAAGGGTGTTGCTTCTCTATGACACGAGAGCATCGGTATCAATACAGGTTTCTGTACACCCCTGGATACCAATATAAAAGTGTCTTCACTATTTAAAAATCTAATTTAACCTTCAACACGTTACGAGATAGACTATTGACGATTAAAAAATAAAGACACGAAGTATGCTGTATAGAAGTGACCTATAAAATTCATATCTTTCAAACGACAAAATATAGCAAATCTTTATAAGTACCGTATGAAGAAATAAAGGATTCGAGTTTCTTCTTTAAGTTAAAGTGAATGTTCAGGATATTTACAAAGTCTTCACTGAATACGACAAATAAATCTGCACTAAGGTATCCCTACAATTGTTCCACTTTCAGTTACTTTTTGTGTAGATGATCATCGAATCACATGGAAATACATTTTCATGGCAATTTGAACGAATATACTAATTCCCTGGAATATTTTAGTTTGAAAGTACCCTAATAGCGCATAGACTATTAAGAAAAATCGTCCGGATAACATGTTCCACGAGCATTTGAAATGTAATTCATAAGTAAGCAAAATTCTCGAGCGTGTCAACATCTCCTTCGTGCGTGACCAAACGGGAAATACGACTTTTCCTAGTTCCACGGCTCAGCCCAGATAGCTACGATCACATTTTTTTTTTTTTTTNGAAATACATTTTCATGGCAATTTGAACGAATATACTAATTCCCTGGAATATTTTAGTTTGAAAGTACCCTAATAGCGCATAGACTATTAAGAAAAATCGTCCGGATAACATGTTCCACGAGCATTTGAAATGTAATTCATAAGTAAGCAAAATTCTCGAGCGTGTCAACATCTCCTTCGTGCGTGACCAAACGGGAAATACGACTTTTCCTAGTTCCACGGCTCAGCCCAGATAGCTACGATCACATTTTTTTTTTTTTTTACCAAACGTTACAAAAACGGCACGTTTCTGAAAGGAAGTTCAACAATGGACCACTCCAGGTTCTTTCTTTCTTCTACCTTCTAATCTACGATCTACGGAGCGGACAAAGGTTAAGAAGAAAGGTATATGATCACGAGCTTGTGGATATCTTGGTGGAGTTTCTCTATATCGTTACGTACCTTGCATGGCGGAGTGCCGTCTTTGAGGTGGCGGTGGACTGCCACCAGCTTCTACGCTGCTTCCGCTATGGCTGTCCAGCTGTGTACTATGACCACTGTCACTGCTCGTCACCGAACCTACGCACACGTCCCCAAGACACTTCTATCACTACAGATTCTATGCCCAGTTTCGCCCAGCTGCATCCTCTAACTGCTAATTATCTAATTATTAGCCGATATCATCATTAAATCACATGGTCACTGAGATCCGTGACTCTTTCTCTCGCTCACGCTCTCTCTCTCTCTCTCTCTCTTTCTCTCTCTCNCCCAACACTACCATGCTGAATCAATCGAACGTAACAGGAGAAATGCATAGACTTATGCTAGCCATAAAGGATATATTCCCCTATGCAACTCAACTGTGTCAACATGGTAGTAGTAAGGGTGTTGCTTCTCTATGACACGAGAGCATCGGTATCAATACAGGTTTCTGTACACCCCTGGATACCAATATAAAAGTGTCTTCACTATTTAAAAATCTAATTTAACCTTCAACACGTTACGAGATAGACTATTGACGATTAAAAAATAAAGACACGAAGTATGCTGTATAGAAGTGACCTATAAAATTCATATCTTTCAAACGACAAAATATAGCAAATCTTTATAAGTACCGTATGAAGAAATAAAGGATTCGAGTTTCTTCTTTAAGTTAAAGTGAATGTTCAGGATATTTACAAAGTCTTCACTGAATACGACAAATAAATCTGCACTAAGGTATCCCTACAATTGTTCCACTTTCAGTTACTTTTTGTGTAGATGATCATCGAATCACATGGAAATACATTTTCATGGCAATTTGAACGAATATACTAATTCCCTGGAATATTTTAGTTTGAAAGTACCCTAATAGCGCATAGACTATTAAGAAAAATCGTCCGGATAACATGTTCCACGAGCATTTGAAATGTAATTCATAAGTAAGCAAAATTCTCGAGCGTGTCAACATCTCCTTCGTGCGTGACCAAACGGGAAATACGACTTTTCCTAGTTCCACGGCTCAGCCCAGATAGCTACGATCACATTTTTTTTTTTTTTTACCAAACGTTACAAAAACGGCACGTTTCTGAAAGGAAGTTCAACAATGGACCACTCCAGGTTCTTTCTTTCTTCTACCTTCTAATCTACGATCTACGGAGCGGACAAAGGTTAAGAAGAAAGGTATATGATCACGAGCTTGTGGATATCTTGGTGGAGTTTCTCTATATCGTTACGTACCTTGCATGGCGGAGTGCCGTCTTTGAGGTGGCGGTGGACTGCCACCAGCTTCTACGCTGCTTCCGCTATGGCTGTCCAGCTGTGTACTATGACCACTGTCACTGCTCGTCACCGAACCTACGCACACGTCCCCAAGACACTTCTATCACTACAGATTCTATGCCCAGTTTCGCCCAGCTGCATCCTCTAACTGCTAATTATCTAATTATTAGCCGATATCATCATTAAATCACATGGTCACTGAGATCCGTGACTCTTTCTCTCGCTCACGCTCTCTCTCTCTCTCTCTCTCTTTCTCTCTCTCTCTTTCTTTCTTTCTTTCTTTCTTTCTTTCTTTTCTTGTCGCACTCTCTGCCTCGAACAAATAATTCCGATCAAAGCTTTCGAAAGCTTCTCGACTCCGACGCGCATTAGCTCGCTTCAGTTCCATTTCGAATACGCGGTGCACGCTTACTGGATTGGATCGTCGTTCGGCAAGCGACAATCGACTATTTCTAGATGTTACGTTAAATTGAGCTTCATACGAGTCTGTTGGAATTTCTGATCGTAATATGTTCAACGATACATTTATTCGATTTATTACGGTACCAATTTAGCATTGCATCCTGCAGTGGAAAAGCACTCGTCCAAGAAAAATGATCGAAAATCCACGTACATAATTTTGGATATTATCTACGATTCAGAATTGTTCCTCATTTTCGAATATTTCACTTTTTTCTGATCACTTTCAAAACCGTAATAAAATTCTGTTCTCCGATCACACCAGTCATCAAATGTGTGAATGCTAAGTATACGTATCGTGTTCTTATGAAAATGTGAGAATAAATAAACAGAAGTGTTATACCAATAATCGTTGTTACAATAAATCATTCTGTTATTAGTTCCAACGCATATCTTTCCGTTTCTCTCGATCATCATCATCAGTTCACAATGATCTGGATGAATAATCATAATAATATTAACAACAACAACTTGTAACCCGTTAGTTTCGGTTTGAGATATGACTGCAATAATTTCGCTATCGCTAAATTTATCTAAATGAAACAAACGTAACTCGAAAATTTGTGAGAGAACTTATTATTGAACCAAAACGATGTAATGTTTTCTACAAATGAAACACAATTGACAGAAGATTCCTTGGAGCGATATATGTATTCAACTAACGTGTCTCCTACATTATGATCGTTACTTCAGATGTAAAGAATCGTACAGCGAGTAAAAATTGAGGCTACTATTCTAAATCGTTTAGAACTGCTTACCATTAACAGATTATAAATAATAAAATCGAATCTTCTAAGTGGCATCGTAGAAGGTAATCATTCACGCATCCGTATGTCCCATGGAGGGTGATCTAAATTAAAGCCAGACGTGCGTCGCCCTGGGATTAGAACCGCGGTACATACATATACACATATATGTATAGAATACATGTATATATATAGGTATATACTTGGGACGATAATATTGATTGGAAAGAAGCGCGAGCTACGATAATCGGCGTACAAGATGCGTGTAAAAATGGAGAAGCTAAATATAACATGGAACATTTATGAATTGCGTAAACGGCTGTGCAGCGTGCAGAAAAAATGAGAGAGTATCTCGTTGCCGAGACCCGGCCAGGTGTAATGTCACGAGCAATGAAGGTGCACGAGGATGGCACTTCACGAGATGTGTCCGCTAATCATCGTGTTCGCATCAAAACATAGCACGTTCAAAAACAAGAAATAACTAAGGATCGTAAAAAGAAGCGCACCGTAGGTGGTGTCATTGTCTAAAGCTCTAGCAATATAGAGAAAATAAAAGTACAGTACACTGAGTATCCATTAGTATTGTAAAATATTCACGTGTGTAAAGTGCGCGTCGAACCGACAGAGACACCATCTCGTATCGAACCATTTTCTTCGGTATCAAAATCGACGAACTCACCACTGGTCAACGTTTTCCTTAAGGGTTGCAGATTGCTCAGGCTGGTCACGCTACTGCTCTCAGCGCTGAGATCGACAGGCGGCAATAAACTGGAAGGTGTGTCGCTATGGGATCGCTCGTGCGTGGAAACTCGGCTACCGGATCCTACTCTCCTGGGCGCACCAGGACTCGGCTCAGGTCCACTGGAATGCAAGGTCAATCCTGGCACTGGAAGCGGCGGTACGCAATGCTTCGGCTGATAGGGGCGAGTTTTATGCTGGTCAGAGAGCGAAAGTATCTTCCTTACTGCTTGCGGCGATGCGGCTCCAAACTTTGTACCTGCGGGTGTAGAATAATTAGGCGATGGTACAATGTAGAGTGGATCTATCTGAGAAATAAATCTTCTTGAATTGTAAACATCGATGATACTTTTGGAAACTGCGGAACTCTTTTAAATCGTACTATATAATTAACTCTTACCCTGTATACTCTTTCTACCTTCACTGGTGCTGCTAGCGCTACTTGTAGTGGATAGAGTAGGAGAAGGATGCCTTCTTCCTCTGCCCGCGCTGAGAGGTACTGCTGCAGCCACTGCGACCGCTCCTGCGTGAGGTTCGCAATCCACGGATAGACCATGTAATCGTTCCTCGTCCGTTATTACTTTCATGTTCGTAAGATAAGCCTTCACTCTCCTGACCATCTGTGCTTCTTCAAACATCTTCTTCGGATTCGGCGCAGCCGTCGATTTCTTCCGCCTTTTAACAGTTGCAGTTTGTCCGCCTGGACAATGCAAAACTGTTAGCGAAAATAAATCGTGATATACTCTTGATGGTATTTTAATTTTTTTATTATTGCTTTACCTTGATTGCCAGTGGTCATTTGATTTAACGCGACCATAGCGGAACTAGGTGGTTGACCACCTCTTTCCAGCATTATTGACAAGTCATAGGGGGAGGAACACATGCCTGTCAAAGATCTTACTTCTTTCGCAATCATTCGCAGCTTTTCAAAATTAACTAGACCTTCCACTCTGGAATCATTGCCGAGATGAATAAATGTCAAATCCTTCTTTACTACAGGATAGAACGGAATCTATAAAGTGAACGAAATATTTCATGAAAGTCATTGACAGGAAACGCAACAAATGTTAATGTATCGTAACAAACATAAATCGATGACTTACTATGGGAGGTTGTGTTTGTTCGGACGCCACCAATTGTCTGTACTTGCTCATGTTGCGGCTGGGATCCATCAACTCCTGCAGATCAATGAATAGCCTCTGATATTTATTTGGCAGTTTTTCCCAAGATGCTCGTAATCTTGAAACAGCTCCATGACCCAAACCAGACACGATCGCGAACATGGAGTTGAAATTTTTACATTCCTTACATTGACCTGGTGACGAAGACGAACATTGAATACTTTTCGTATAATCGTCGACGAAATTTGATAAATTGGAAACTCACGAGCTATTTTTATAAATTGTTTTATTATTTTACTACGTCGAACAAGGTTGTGTTCAGAACAAACTTCTGTAACAACCCAGAACATCTCTCTATTGACTAGTTCAGCAAACTGCCTGAGCATAGGCACTCCGTATCTACTTTTCAACTCGAACAAATCGTCCACGTACTCCGTAGATTCAATTTGCCTAAAATTAGAATGTTCATGAAAATGAGTTTTCAATATCCCTGAGCAACTTAAGATTTTCCATTACCTGAATATACTGAAGTCTTGTAACGTCAATTGAATGGCGACTTCAACTGCGTTTAATTGTAAGAAATGAACCTGAGATTCACGAATCAGTTCAGGCGCTTGCTCGTCGGCTACAAGTGTCTCCGATATACCATTCGTTTTTAAATAATATCGAGAACTTAAACCGATCCTTTCCGCAAGATTTTGCATCTGATCTGGTAACCTACGCTGCTTAATCATGCCTCCTTCCCCGACACTAAGTTCGGCCAGGGAAAAATTTGAACTGCTCTCGGTTATACCGAATTCTTGAAGAGCAAGCATTACCACCTAAAACGTAGTATATTTGCATAGAAGTGGATGTCTCTAAACTGTCTGCATTTTTTCGCAAAGAAGAATCTGTTTACCTCGTGCGCCGTTGTTTCTTTGTGAATAAGAAGGTATTTACAAGTTTGATCAGCTTTGTAAACTTTCAAAACGTGTTCGGGATAGTCTGGCGCTCTTAAGTCATCGTAACAATATAACGAAGTTAGATCAGGATTACTCTTAGAATGGTATAGGTTAGTAGTGGTCTGAGCGAGACCTGTTCCTGGTGGTGTATGAGGAGGCGCAAGTGAATCGTCTGCATGTACACCGTCACTATAAAAGAAAATTACATTTTTTACAACACGTCTTATAATTAATTTTTAACTAGAAGTTCACGATATGTTTTCTTTGACTTACTTAATAGTATTCTTTTGCAGTATATTCATTTTTATGAGTGCTCTCTGCAATCTCTTTTTTGGCCCAAGCGTCATGAATCCCTTATGTTCCTTTTTAACATCTTTGATTGGAGAGATGTTGGAGTCAGATAATAACGGAACACCACCCACTAGTGGGTTCATTGGATTTACAGTGGTGATTGGATCCACGTGCGTGGACAACCTTGCACGCGGATCCGTTGGGAGTTTTGAAATTTCGGGTTTGTTTGCTCTTGCCCGCGGCCTCGGTGAATCATCTGGCATCTGAAGCATTTCTTTAAACGCTACAACAGTAATTTATCGCTCGTATAAAAGAATTATAATAAGCAATTGTAATTTTTAAATAATGATCACATACCAAGTAAATTGGATTTCACTGTTATACTGAGGTGAGTAGAGCCCCTTAAAAGTTCTAGAGCTTTGGCGTGACTCACATGCTCGAAGCTTTGTCCATTTACTTCTAAAATTTGATCGCCCCGCTTTAAACCAACATCCTCTGCTTTCGACTTCTTGTCGACTTTCGAGATAAAGATCCCAAAACCTTTTTCGTAACCGCCCAAAATATTAAAATGCAAGACCTCGTCTCTACTGGGTCTTGCTAATGTTACATTACGCATTCTTGCCTTTGCTGCACAGGCAATGTTCAATAATCTGTAAGTGATGAAAATACAATTAAACGACACACACACACTTTAGTAATCATAAATTTAAAATAAGACGAAGTCACGTTAAATATACCTTTGTTGCCCTTGCATTTTTTCCCTTTCTAATCCAGTTTCAAAAGCTTCTAAAAATTCCATCATGGATGGGTCAGTTTCAAAGTCTGTAAAATGATTATTTACCCAAAGAAGCACTACTCTGGCCACTCTGTCTCTGACTTGTGCTTGATCAAACCATTCTAACAATTGACTTGCAACTAATAAGGGACTATCAATAAATGTTCGATGAGTTAATAAAAAGTCTTCTATATAAGTGGGATCGGTAATACTGTTTTCTTCTATAAGTTGTAACATTAAACGTTCAGGAGTGCCACGAATAACAACATGACCCCTACGTGCTCCACCATCGAGAGCTCCCCTTAATTCTGTTACTAGAATGACTCTTCCATTTTCTTCGTGCCTCCTAGTATTCTCTTCACCTTGATGTTGAATTCTAAAGTAATCTGCTTGCGTGACGCATACAAATTGACAATCATCGCATCTAAAAGAAGAATTATTTTTTTCATGAAACCTCGTTTACTTAATTGTAAATGTTTTACTAGATAGATTAATACAGCAGAATATTACATACTTCGTCCTCATAACACCTCTATGCAATAATCTTTCCATAGTAGGCAAGATTCCAAAACTATCACCAAGATGTAGTTGTTCAATTTCTCCATTGCTATGCTCAATTTCTACAGCACCATTGATAAGCACACTCCAGCTATCCAATTCTTCACCATCATTCAAAACTATCATACCAGCACGTTCTACCACAGCAAATACCATTACAGCGCACAGCGCTCTTCTTACTGCTAAAGTCATGTTTGTAAAGGCCTTTAACTGTTGTGTAAATTCTAACAGTGTCTCTATATGGTCTTCCGTTCTTTCCATAGGATCTTTCTCTAAACATTCTCTGACCGGATCACGAACAGTCAGGCTCTGAAAATAAGAATGAACAATAGTTATTTTAATCTTAGATTAAATTTTAAAGTTATATTTCAGTTTTTAAAGTATTATAATCAACTCTTACGTCCATGCTCTCTGCCAGATCCTCTTCTTCATCGCTATCCACGATGGATTCAACGAGTCCCGACAGATCAACGTCATCTGGATCTGCATCCAATGAACTTTGTACAGATGTCATTGTATCTGATCCACTGTATGCTGAGCTTGTGTCGCTTGAATGGCTGCTTCTGTTAGACTTTTGGTAGAGTTCTGGCCTGCCAGTCAGGCCTTGAGAAAACTGCATAGAAAACAAACACTCTAATGAATTAACAAGTTTATTGTATCATAATTCCTGCAGCGTAATTATAACTATTTCAAAAATCATTTCAAGGTCTTAAAACGTATAATTCAAGATTGATATTATTAATGTGTTATTATTCTATCCTGTAGCTGTAGAAATAACGATATATGTATACCTTAAGATTCATGCTAAACAACAGTGATACAAAGAAATAACATTCTCGTGTACGTATAATAATATAATGCCTCTTAAAAGAATGTATTGATAAACCATTTAATCGGAGCTTTTCTTTAACAATAGAAAAAAATATCTACAGGACTAATGTGCAAGATATCATCTATAGATCGACATCGATCTGTCAATCGGCAGGAAGACGCTGAAAAGAAAACGGGATCGAGAATCATGTAAGACAAAAAACACGAGTTCCACGAGCGGAGCTCGTTTACGGAATAGTACCAGGAATGGGCGTGATGGGTGTACAGACTCTGTTCGTATGTTAGGTTAGGTTTTCAGACATGACATCACACATACAACATCGAGCGGACACAGGAGGACAGAGACAGAAATAGTGGCACGTATGTATATATCTAAACAAAAACATCATGACATCTGTCACATCACGATAATCATCTGGCAGTGATCAACCACGATCGTTTACGGAAAACACGAACCGTCATTGGGAAATCTCGTGAACGAGGAAAGCATTCCGATAAACCAAGGCCATTTTGAGCCGCGGGAGATCGTCTGTCCAGACTCACTTGGTACATGCCGAAGGCGTCCATCCTACCCTTACTAATGGCACTTATTAGGCACGCTTCACCGTTGAGTTCTTTATCACGACGAATAACCAAGAAAACAAACAGTGTCTGACCACATTGTCGCACAGTTATACTTCACCACGATCCGACACGACTCGATTCGACTCGACTCGACCCGACTCGACTCGACTCGACTCGATTCAACTCGACTCGCGCAGGTCGCACCTTCTCGTTCGCGAGCGCATATGTGACCGTACGCCGTACACAAGTAACGCGACGTGACCTTCTTTATGTGTGCGTTTACGAAGCTCGTGGCGCGTCTGGCCTGACCATGTCGTAGGCCGTCAGCTTAGCGGTGTAGCGGACATAGGACTGTCTCTCGTTCCTCCCCCACCCTTCGTCCAGTCACCGGCATTCCCTTCGAAAGCGTAGGGTCATGTGACCTGACCACGGGACTCGACCGAGCGGCAAGCTTCAGGTCCGTCGCATTAGAGGGAGACGCGCGCTGGGGGGCCCACCTGTAGCTTCTGACTGTGCAATTAAACAAACACTTCTTTCTGGACAAAATATTCCTACAAATCTTTCCACCGAGCTCCGACTTCCGCATCTCTAGAAAAATGATCGCAATACGCCATCTCACGAAACTACAAAAGGTAAATATAAGATTCTACTCCTAATAATTTGTTAGATTGCACGAATTAGAAAAAATGTTATTGCGTGTCATCTCCATACTAGGTTAAACTCGTATTTACGAAGCTCGTATTCGTGAAGCTCGTATTCTAGGAAAACTATGCTGTATTATTATTTGTATCATATTATGCATCAACCTTGTCCAAATAATTTCCGAATTTCGTAGCAGCTGTGTAAACAGAACTCGAGAAAAACGCTTTTAAAATTCGCATTTGGTTTTCTTACGTCAAGAGAGAATTTTCGTTTTTGTGGAACTTACAAGTGTCTTAATCTTCTTTAACAGCGGCTACACTTAAATTTTCATGAAAATTACAGGAAGCTTTTTAACTAAAGGAAAATATCTAATCTTGAAGATGATTCTCCGATTTACGAACGAGCGACGGAAGAAGAATGCATTGTCTAGCGAGTAGCAATCGGACGGATCTATGTGGATACAATTTTTCCATGAATATTTATCGGCAGCAACAAGGACGACTACTCTCGATCGTTGCATCGGCCAGTAATTCATTGGGCCTTGCTACGAGCTCAGCAACATTATGCAGAATATTTCAGCCGCGTTCGGGTACAAGATTTTCAGGGTCGATCCATCGTCATTGTCGTCGTCGTCGTCGTTGGATGCGAAGGAAAAGGACGATCGTGTGAATCAAGCCTAAGGAGTCGACGGTCGGTCAATCGTCAATCGGTGAACGATCGAGAGTGGAGGGAAACGCACAGAGAAGAGTGGTACCGGTCTGTTCAAAGCATCCAACAGCGGATAGTAACTGCTCAAAGGCCACTGGCCGACCCGACGGATGATTTATACGACCCGTTATGTCGTGCCCTCACTTTTCCTTTTGTCCTGCTCCGCAGACTTTCCAAATTGCCTCTCCCATTCAGTTTCTTCCTACTCAGCGGAGAGGCAACGGCATACCAGTGCATGCGACCAATATGCATTCCAGAGACTCGTTAGGGGACTTCGGTGGATCATCTCACCAGCGCAAGCTGCGTTTCGGCGAAGTCTCAAAATTGTGAGCAAACCGTAAAACGAGAAATTTTCCGTAACATCCGTGTTATACAGGGTGTTCCACAATTACTTTAACAGCCGAAAATGAGGGGTAGCTGAGGTCATTTGAAGTAACTTTTTCCTTTGCGAAAATGCAATCTGCGGCTTTGTTTACGAGTTATTAACGAAAAACACTGACCAATGAGAGGTGACGGCGCGAAGTTCGAGAGCCCGCAGCACGAGGCTTTGACAGATGGTCGGGACGGACTCGAGCCGCGTTCGAAGTATTGAACAAATCACGAAGCGAGAACTTTC